CTGAGCCTCACTGGTCCTGCTCGCTGCCTGCCCCATGCTGAGGGCTTCACATCTTCATTAAGGTGACTGTAAGTACCCAGTTCTTTTTTTTAATGTTTATTTATTGGGGGGGGAGGGGAGTGGCAAAGAGAGAGAGAGAATTCCAAGCTGGTTTCCTGTTCAGCGAGGAGCCCAACACTGGGCTTAATTCCACGACTGTGAGTTCACAGCTGATATCAGGAGTCAGACACTTAACCTACTAAGCCACCCAACTGCCCCACCTTTTTAAAAAAAATTTTTTTTCAAGTCCCCAGTTCTTAACTCACCTTGTTTCCACTAATGTGGTCTTGTGACTTAAAAACACTGTATACGGAGGGACGCCTGGGTAGCTCAGTCAGTTAAAGTGTCCAACTTCAGGGGCGCCTGGGTGACGCAGTCGGTTAAGCATCCGACTTCAGCCAGGTCACGATCTCGCGGTCCGTGAGTTCGAGCCCCACGTCGGGCTCTGGGCTGATGGCTCAGAGCCTGGAGCCTGTTTCCAATTCTGTGTCTCCCCCTCTCTCTGCCCCTCCCCCGTTCATGCTCTGTCTCTCTCTGTCCCAAAAATAAATAAATGTTAAAAAAAAAAAATTTTTAAAGTGTCCAACTTCAGCTCAGGTTATGATCTCACAGTTCGTGAGTTGAAGCCCCGCGTAGGGCTCCATGCTGACAGCTCAGAGCCTGGAGCCTGCTTTGGATTCTGTCTCTTTCTCTCTCTCTCTGCCCCTCCCCCACTAGTGCTCTGTCTCTCAAAAATAAATAAATCTAAAAAAAAAGAAACAAATAACAGTGCATATGTAGTTTGCCTTGTTAATGTTACTTACGTCACCATATCCTACAGTCTTCTGAGACATTCAACACATACAAGACCACCTTTCTGCGTGTGACCAGATCAGATCCACGAATTAAATATACACAGCTACTCCACTCTCAGATGGACAGCCCCACCGCTGTAGGTCTGTAATTTAAACGCTCCAAGATCTTGGCTTATGGTTTTCCATCTGCACCTCCAGAGACCACATCTCTGTGCTTTCTAGCTTTGTCCACTCTATCAGTGCTCTTGAATTAATATTTCAATTAAACATCTGGAAAGTCCTAATAAACTAATTGGTTGGTACACAGGAACCCTGCATCATGACTCGGTTCTGGTGCTGGATAAACTCACATCACTGGGAGCATGTTGGGCAGGTAGACACGCACAGAAGGGTTAACTACTGCCTCCACATTGATTCTCAAGTGATATATGCGTGAGTTACGAAAACTTTCTGACATGCAATCACATAACATCGTACGTATATGGTTGGTGAGAGGCAAATATATGGTTTTTCTGGTCGGTCTGAAGTTGGAAATGCAGAAAACATTAGAGAGCGTCACTTATTAATCACATCCTGGCCATTTAGGGCCGACAGTTACAGAAGTCATTGTTCAGCTTCCTGGATGGTCACTAGAGCTAGTAATCTGGCTTCCGGCGAGTGTGACTTGGAGCGGGCCTGTTTCCTGGGTTGTTTACGATGGATACGGGGTTAGTTCCCTGGGCAGGTGGCTGCAAGTTTGGGTCAAAGTTCTACTGTTACGTACGTTCTGACACTTGTCACTCTGTATATTGTCTCCCATGTTACAAGGCTGGAGATCAAGTGAGTGACAAGCCCTCTCCACTCGTCCTACACAAACACAGCTGCAAACAGAAATCGAGTTCTCCCTCCACTTCCAGCTGCCCAGGAGCCCTCTCCGCAGCAGAGAGGCAGCAATGCCCAAAACATCGTCCACTCACCTGCGCAGGGTCCATCCACGCCGCCGCCATCATGGGACCCCGTGGACAGAGGCGGGTCCCGCGGGCTCGGCCGACCGCCACCTCTTCCCTGTCCTGGGAGGGGTGACCTCGGCTGACTTTCGCACTCCCCGGTCACCGCGCGGCTCACGGCCCGTTCAAATGCGCGGAGGTGAGTCGCAAACCCCCTTCTCCTCTTTTTGGATGAGCTGCACTGGAAGCGGCCACAGAACAGCGACCCCTCCCCACAGCTGGCGTGGACGGAATCGTCGCACACAAATGACGTATGCCTCCAGGGGGGCCGGAAGCCCCGCCCCCATGTCAACGAGCCGCAGGAAATGCCCCTGTCCTGTCACTCAGTGGCCCCGGTACTGCCGCGGACACCCCCTTGCACAGCCTTCTGGGTAATGTAGTTTTTGCTCTAAAAACGAGTCCCAGAAGAACGCGTTCCAGAGCCAGTCTTCCTCGTGGTAAAACACTGATTAGGCCCAGATCCCCCTGTCAGGCCCGCCTCTTCACCGTGAACACAACCCAGGGGGGCCGAGGAGAATGGATCCCCATCACATGCCTCGGGAAATCGAGGCTCCGAAGGCGGGAGCGTCCGCCTGGCGTCAGGGCACGTGTCACCTGTCCGCCTAGGGTCAGGCCCTAGGCTCGGCTCGCGACTTCCCCGTGCGTCTCACCTCCTCGCGATCTTCCTGGAGGGAGCTGGGCACACGAGCGGTAGGAAGAGCGAACGCCAGGACACGGACGCCGGAAGCCCTCTCTCCCACGCGGCGCATGCGCACCGCCCGGCCCCTGGCGGGCTCTATTCCAGCATCAGCTGCACGTGCTGCCAGGCCTTGACGCCCGCTGGTGAGCGAGGCTGGGGGAGGTCGGGACTCCGGGGTGGAGCACGGGCGCTGCATCCTGTGTCTGATTGCCGGACTAGGGGTCCTGTGTGGATCTGCATGTTGGGGAGTTGTTAGCGAACGGGGTTATCTCCAGTCTGAAGAGAAGCCTGAGAATAGATGGAGAAAGGAATGGGCAGGGGCGAACCCTGAACAACCCGGCGTTAAATAGGTGGAGACAAGGGGCACCTGGGTGGCTCTGTTGGTTAAATGGCCAACTTCGGCTCGGGTCATGATCTCGAGGTTCGTGAGTTCAAGCCCCACATCGGGCTCTGTGCCGACAGCTCACAGCCTAGAGCCTGCTTCGGATTCTGTGTCTGCCTTTCTCTGCCCCTCCCCTCGCTCTATCTCTGTCTCTCTCTTTCAAAAATAAGTAAAC